TGACACATTTCAGTTCAAAGCTTAGTAATTCACATGTCTAAATTTATTCCAATTTTATTCCAAATAAATCTATATTTGTAACTTGCTGACAAATCTTTTTTCTTTCCTTTTGAATGCTGTCTTTGACACTATAGAAAAAACTGCATATTTAGCATTTTTTACGTGTGTGTGTGTGTGTGTGTGTGTGTGTGTGTGTGTGTGTTTGAAACTGGATTTCATATGCACCTGCATTCTAAGTAGCTTTTAAGGTTCGGAATTGACCTAATTCAGATGCTGTTGAATTACACTGAAACAGTCAAGGAGCAAGATTAGATGAGTACGTCATTATGAGTTCTCATCAGTGAAGTCTGCATTAAAATCAATGTTGAGTTGTTTGTTTTTGTTCTGTTCTGGTTAACTATCATTTTTCATGCTTTTACTCATGCACTCATTATAATCTGAGAAAGATGCTCACTGTGGAGTCTTTGAAAATAGAAATAGACCTATAGGAAATTTTATTGGCATCAGGTGAAAGGAAGAGGTTGTGGGAGAAGAGCAAAGATGGAAATTGAACCGGCAGTCATGTAGACCTCTATTAGAATGTTTTCTGTGGCATGAAAAAGTATCCTTTCCTTAAAGGATTAACCTGTGTGCGTGTCTGTTCATGCGAGATGCAGGGAAGCCAACATAATGTTAAGGTTTCATAAATCTGTCTATGGAAGATTTCAGAAATGTTTTAAAACCAGCTTATTGTGAAGATGTTTTCTAGACTTGCAATGTATGAACAAGTGTCCATTTTATAGATACATGTAGTGCATTGAGAGGAGTATTGATCGTGTTACAGGGGCATATATCTAAAGCTTGTCTATGTGAGCATCCTTGTACTCTCACCATTCAGTTTTATTCTCCAGCTTTCTCTGGGATCTTCTTTCTGGTATCTCTTGATTCTTTAAACTATTAATGTCATTAAAATTTATAATATTCTGTTATTACCTCTAGGAAAATAGAGATTGTAATGTGAAACATAATTGTCTCATTTTGCAATTTGTGTTATGATAGTTGGGCACAAATAGAGCAAATTTAAATATTCCCCTGAGCAATGTGGCTAGGTATTACAATCTAACTCAAGTTCTTAATGTGCAGATAAATAAATAGATACATGCATGCCACAAATTCTTGAAGAGTGATCTCTGTCATTAATGTGCCACAAGAACAGAAAACAGGGTTTGTAGGAATACTCCTTCAGTGCTGAGTTGGATGTTGAGAACTACTAATAGCCTGAGGTCTACTAAGTCAGATTTACACTGATGTCTGCTTACCAAAATATTTAGGTGCTACCTGAATTATTTAGACTACCCACATTCTGTCCCTTAGTGGAGAAAAAATCCAGCACATGTATACAAGAACATCCTTTATTTTTCAGAACAATGCTCTCTTTCCATCCTAATTCAAGAAATTCAATACTTATAGGTTTGACTGCAACTTGCTATTTGAGGTGCTAGGCAATAGTTAGGCTCCTTTCCTTCCTTAAAGCATACCCCTGAAGCAAGCAAAAACTGCCATCTATATTAATATCAGTAACAGTAACAGTCAGTAACATCAAGGGATCACAAAAGCCAGAACAGTGGGCACTTAGTATGGGATTTTGTAAGATTTTGCAAACCAATCAATAAAATTTATTTAGAATGCAGTTGTCCACACATAGTATTGGAAGATAATTAGTGTGCTGTCTTGTGATGCGTAATGATCCATGATCAAGATTGGAAATTTGGAGCGTAGTTGCTTATAAAGGTTTAGGACTGAATTAAATGGCTTGCTCAGTTGTCACAGAAAATTTGGGTCCCCAGTTGTTCAAGGGAAGCCAGTAGTCAGTTGCAGTCTGTTTGTATTTCAGCAAAGCTTTCAACAGTGTTTCCTCACAATATCAATGTAGACAAAACATCCAGCATGTAGCAAAGCAAAATCATAATGCAGGGAGTGAACAGTTGGCTGAAGGGTTGAGCTCAAAGGGTTATTGTGAATGGGGTTACATCAAGCTGGTTTCCAGACTGTGATGGGATTCTGCAGGGCTTCATTTTAGAGGGCCAAATCTCTTTAATATTTTCGTCAGCAGCTTGCATGAAGTACTCAAAGGTATACTAAGTAAATCTGTAGATGACACTGAATTGAGAGGAACTGCTAGTTCCTCAAGGGCAGAGAGGCCTTGCACAACAAATTTGTCAACTGGGCGATTAGTGTGATTTTTAAAAGGAGCAAGTTTCAGATTTTGCATCTAGGACTGGGCACCCCTGTGTAAATATCTGTACAGATTGGGGAATGAGAGGCAGGAGAGCAGCCCCATGGAAAGGGATCTGGGGGTTCTGATTGATGGAAGTTGAACATAATTGAGCAGTGTGCTCTGGCACACTCCAACTTGGGATATTCTATGATTCTGTGATGTCATATACAGGGGAAAAAAAAAAACCAGGTTATTTTTTAAAAATTAACTAGATAAGTAGAATTTAATTATAAGACCAGTGTGAAATGTTCCTTTCCTCTGTGACTCCAAGACCTAGAACAATATACAGATTACATGCTGTTATCCTGGTAGATATAAATGTAGTCAGAGCACAGGTGACCTTTAAAGCTTCACATGCTGCTGAGCCAGAATCAGAGTGTTTCTAGAAATGAACCCCCAGGATATGCCAACACCACATGAGGGGGAGACCTGTGGCCATGACACTGGTCCAGGGAAATGCATCTGCTGCTGAGCAGGATGGCATGTCCTGTTGCTGTCCACAGTTCACACAGACACACACCACTATTCTGCTCTAGGAGCTGCCCAAGATGCCCTGTATCGCACTGCTTGCGGTCTACCAGGGATCGTGATGTACAGCTTGGAACGGTTTGTAGTTACCCTTAGTTTCTAGAGCATTAGCTCTGAAATGTAGTCATGCACAGACCCTTTTTTTCTGCAACAACTTTTTTACTGTCCTTTTAAATTTCAAAAATGGAATCCTGTTTCTAAAATGAGCAGATCATTTGCTGGTATTAATGGTAATCAGATGTAATGTTGTTGCCCTAGCATTACATATAGAACTAAGGTATTGAAGCCTCTAGCTGCTGCCAGCTGTCTACACAGGAAAAGGTAGCACTTTGAGATTTGATTTAGCCCAGTTATGTTCTGAGTCTCTTAGAGTGACTAGGCTCTTTTGTTCAGGATTCACTTGATGTGCATAGCTGAGTGTGAACGATGTGAATTAATGTACCTAGGAGAACCATCCTGCTGAGTCAAGCATTTTGATGCAGGTTGTGGTATGTCTTAAAAAAATAAGAAACATTCATGACATGGGTAGAATGCAAAATACAGGTGGCATGAGTTGAATTATGGATAATTACTTTTTTTCAAAAGGTATCCTCTGTTTCCAGTCATTCAGTCTGTGTTTCCCTACCACCTCTAGAGGGTGATGAGTTAAAGGTATTGCATAAAGCTGGTTCTCCCTCAGACCACAGTGGGAGAAGCTTAGACACAGTATGTGGCATTAACACCCTCAACACCAGAGAAAAGAAATCCAGGGCTGGTTTCTGGAGGGACTATGTAGAGCTCAAGGCAATTCTGTGGTGATCTTCTACAGAGTTATGAAGTCTCAGAATCTTTTTACTTCTGTTGGTGTATGTTTTCTGTATTTACTTCACACTGTTGTTAACACAATGAATTTTACCTTCTACGAAGTTAAAAATTCGCATTCCTTAAAAATGATGGAAAATCAGCAAAGAAGAACTGAGCCAAAGCTACAATACTAGTCAGCCATTACAAGTAATTACGATAACCCCGTGGTCACTTCACTCTCAGCTTGACAGAAAAAAATGTCAAGAAAGCAAAATAATTTTTCTCAAACGTTGAAAATACAGCATCAGCTTCACTTCCCCTGATGGCACATTGCAAGATGGTGTCAAAACAGGGCAAGTCCATTGATATGAATTGCTGGCTGCTCTCTACTCTGAGGTACTGAGAGCAGCCCTGTGTGAGCTTGGCTATGAGCTGGCCCAGCTGTGCAGGTTGCACAGCCAGCTGATGTTGGAGATTGGCTGACGGGACGTGTGAGGCTGCTGGTGGCAGTGGTAGGGAGCTCGGCTGTAAAGCCTTCTCTGTGAAGGATGTGTCTGAAGGGAGGAATGCAGACAGTGGTGCTGCAGCCTGTTGTTCCTCGTGGGGAAGGAATCTCCATGGCAGCTGATAGCCATCTCAGGCTGCGCAACTGTTATGATTTCAGGATCAGCTAAACCCATAATTTTCGAATTATTTGTTTTAAGGGTAAGAAAAGATGTTTTTGTTTGTTTAGGTATGGAATACTGAGTAGAGCATATAGTTGAGTTGGCATCAGTTACAACATAAGGGCAGTAGATGAAGACTCTGTCCCTTGTCACGATTTTTCTTTCTATCTTATCCCAAATTATTCTCTGTGCAGTACTTTATATTCTTAACTGTGTCCATCCCTTCCATGAAGCTTCCCAGCTTTCTGATTTTGTAATATGGATTACTTCAAAAGACTTGATTGAGTCATTATTATAAGGATTAGTCTGAAGAAATAATTTAATGTTCTTCCGGGAAAGATGTTCTCACAACATTGTTCTCAGAGGTGGGGGCTGTATTTCTTAAAGGTGGCTACATTTTGTATTTGTTGTTTTGTTTTGAGGCTGTAGTGAGGTTCTATTCTGTCTGTATACGTTTCTTGTTCCTTACCTTGAGATCTATTGATTCTGTTTTTGTGCTTTTTCCTATGAGGAACTACTTCCACAGTATGATAATATTTCCAGAATAGATAGTGCTATGTTAAGCTGTTTTCTTTATTTCAGATAGCACATTTAAAAATGCTGTTATTAAACATAAAAAAAACCTTTTTGTTCTAGACAAAACATGTGCATCTGTAACTTTTGCTTTTTCCTTTGTTTGCTTAAAAACATTTTTTGAACAATGTTAGATATATATTAAAACGTCTGCACAAGTCTTTGTTTCTAAAATACTATGTTTCCATTCTCAGGAAATCACTGATAATGAAATATTAGAGTTGGTGCATAGTGCCCTTGGGAGGATGACAGTTATCCGGCAGATTTTCCCTCTCTCAAAGGACAATAATCAGAGGTGCATGAGGAACAATCACCGAATATCATCACTGCTCTGTGATCCACAGGAAGGCTATCTTCAAATGCTGCAGGTCAGTAGCTACGTTCAGCAGAAAAGTCCGTTTTAGGAATTCGATGTGAGATAGTTTTCTGTTACTGAATTACCTCAGAGGAAAAATAAAATGAATACAGATAAATCTGTGCATGTAGTTTTTGCTCGGTTATTCCTGATTTAATTTTTTATTTCTTTTTTGCAGAAGTATTTTAGATATAATGTTATGTCCATAAAGCGCTGGAAATCAGTTGTACTAACCCAAAGATGATTTTGGGTATGCCATCCTTTTATGAATCTTCTTCTATGTGAAGAAAAAAAAAAAAAAAACAACCTGTGTCATCATAGTTTTCTGGCATTACTATTTTTTTTATTATATTTATTCCTCAGATATCTGATACAAAAGTATTAATCTTGAGCATAACGGAACTCTGATATGTATTGGGCTGTGGAGCATATCATATTTAGTTAAATGGACTGAGTGCAGTTGATGTATTCAATCTGTCCCATTTCAATAGTCTCAGAAGTCTCCAGCAGCTGGTAATTGTAAGAGCATATGAAATATGCACCACTGGTTTGAGTTCCAGATTTTGGTAACAGATTTCCTAGAGCATAATTGATTGAGTTGAAAGGGACCATTAAAGGTCATCCAGTCCAACTCCCCTGCAATAAACAGGGACATCTACAGCCAGATCAGATTTCTCAAAGCCCTGTCCAGCCTGACCTCAAGAGTCTCCAGTGATTGCACCTCTACCTCTCTGGGGAACTTTGTTCCAGTGCTTCGCTACCCTTATTATAAAAAAATAAAAAATAAAAAAAAATAAAAGAAATTAAAAAAATTCTTATATATGTCTATGTCTTCCCTCTTTTAGTTTGAAACTGTTTTTCCTTGTCCTGTCACAGCAGACCCTGCTAAAGGGTCTGCCACCTTCTTTCTTCTAGCCCCCTCTTAGATATTGAAGGTCTCTCTGGAGACTCTCTCTTCTCCAGGCTGAACAGCCCGAGCTCTTAGCCTTTCCTCATAGAGAGGTGTTCCATCCCTTGGATCATTTTTGTGGCCCTCCTTTGGATATGCTCACATCGCTCCTGTACTGAGGACTCCATATCTGAACTCAGTACTTCAAGTGAGGTCTCACCAGCACAGAGGGGCAGGATCACCTCTCCCAACCTGCTGACAATGCTTCTTCTGGTGCAGCCCAGGATATGACTGGCTTTTTACGCTGCGAGGGCACATTGCTGGCTCATGTTCAGCTTGTCATCCACCAGTACTCCCAGGTCCTTTCTGGCTGGGCTGTGCTCAATACAGCTTTTCCTCCCACTTGTATTGATAATGGGGGTTACTGTCACCCAGGTGCAAGACCTTACACTTGGATTTATTCAACCTCACGAGATTCTCCTGAGCCCTTGCTCAAGCCCATCGAGGTCATTCTGGATGGAAACCTCAGGCATGTCAACAGCACCACGCAGGTTGGTGTTACCCCCAAACTTGCTGAGGGTGCACTTAATCCCACTGTTGATTATTAAGGAGCATTGGTCTCAGTACAGACCCCTGAAGGATGATTTTACTCTGGCATAGGCAAAACCTCCAGATTTATCCCAGATATCAGAATTTTTCTTGCAGTAATTTAAGCTTAAACAGTTTCAATTGGTATTTCCAGTCATAGTGCAATAATTTTGAAACACAGATCTGTGGCTTTCAGTGGCACTCCCCGTGTTTCTAGTTTACTTTAGACAATTTAAGAATCTCCTCTATAGTACAGTACAAGCTGCTGGACAAAAAGGAGAACTTTTGGTAGATTGAGCATATAAGCTTGGTGACACACACCAAGCAAATATTGCAAATGTAATTTTAACCTGGGATAGTATAAATATGCAGAGGTCAAGTCTATGAGTCAACAAGCATAGGTATTGTGTGAGTGAGTCAATTTAGGGCTTGGTAAGGCTGTGGGGAAGGGGCTGCCTGCAGTCTGGGCTGCTGCAACCCGGTCAGGAAGGATGTCCTTGCTAGTGGGTAACTCATTTTGGATTAGAGCTTCAGCAGGGAAAACGTGAGGCTTATGGGAAGCCAGGAAAAGTAGAAAAAGTCCCAGGATGAGAATTGTAAAGGGGGAAGATTTTCAACGGAACAGGAAATGGAGATGTTTGTTTTACTTATTTGTGCTCTTCTAATGAGTCGTAGTTGCAGAGACTGAAATCCTTCAAGAGAAGGTGTGTGGGCATTTTCTCCTCCAAAAGAGCCTCTGCCTGACTCAGATTCTGTCACAATGGGTTTGATCCCGAAGTGTGGGAAATTCCAGCTGCATAAATTGTATCTCTGAGCACTGGTCTGCTCTTTCTGCACTGGGGAAAGTCTATGCCTGTCTTTTCATAGAAAGAAAAGACACTCTCAATGTTTGATAGCAATTTTGAGAAATGCTGTAAGGAGAGCAAAGGTCAGTCATTTCAGAGGATCAGAACTATTTCCATTATGCTCAAAAAAGTGATGTAGCCTGCACCAAAAATCACTTATTGGGGGACAGTTTTACCTTACAACAGGATTTTGAGTATTTCTGACTGAGTTAGCTTATGCATGATGTAATTCAGAGAGTCATCCAAAGAGCTCTGGCAGACTTCTCTGAGGAAGTTATTTGCTAAACCAGTAATTGGTTTGCTGGCTTGAATAGCCTCACAGTCTATTACAGAAGTTCACTGACAAAAGACCCTTTAGGAATCTAAATACTCTTTCTACTATTTCACAAATGTGGGTTTAGAGAAGTAACACATCTTCAGCATTCTTATTTCTTGTCTTTCAGAAATACTGTGCTACCTTAGAAACAGTTATTAAGAGAATGGAAAAGTAATGTTATTCTTTGCCCATTAGTTCTTAGAAACAAGAAAGAGGTGCAGAGGTGTATAGTTAGCTTTGTGGAACTTGATTCTATAGTTTCCTTGTCCAGCCGTGCTGAAATGTAATATCATGGACACTGAAGAGCACTGTATACTATTACCAGTTTCTCAGATAAACTGCCCTATGTCTTATGTTTAGGTTTCTACTAATTGAATATAGGATGCTCTAAGCATGTGCAATTATGTCTGAAGCATTCTGTATCTGCATTTTGTTTAGACATTGTCTAAACATGTTATATAACATCTTGTTGGGAATAGAGCTTATATTCATTTCTCAGTATGATTGACATATTATTAATGGTTCTGTAATTTAGGTACTTTCAATCTATTTCCCTTTTCTTGCTTAAAAAATAGTTTTGACCTTTTGCTGTACAGAAGTACATCACTAAATTACCCGTGTTGCCAAAGGCAGCGGTAGCTCCTAGCTCTGTGTCAGACTGCGTGAATCCACCAGAGGCAGTGACTGCCTGCCAGCACTGAGTCGTTGTGTTGCTTTGAAGTAGTTTGATTAACCACAGTTTGAAAATCCCTTGGGCAATTTCAAATTAATAATACTTTGTTGTCAAGGTTACTTACCAGCTATTGTTAGTTAATTATTTATTTAACGACTTTGAAGGCGAATAAGCTAAATTCTGCCAGCCTCTAGCTGTAAGATGTTTAGGAGAGAATTTAGCATTTTTAACAACCTAGTAAAGAAAGAAACATTTACATCCAAGACTATTAACTTAGTTCTGGTTAAATTAACGAAAGTCTTTTTGGAACAATTTTGTTCACGGTGTCTTTTGTACCATATCCTGGAAAGTTGTTTTTCAGTGGGTGATCATGTTGGCATTTTGATAAAGCTTTTAAAGATCAGGCTGTTCTGCAAGCTTATCCAATACCTCATCTATTCTGAAGGCTTTGTGGAAATACAATCTTGCTCCATCAACCCACCTGTCACAGTTTTGCTCATGCCCTTATTTCTTGCACGTATTATCAATTGGGTTTCTTCTTCAGAAGTCTTCGTAAGGTTTTCATCTTGGTCATTCTATTTGAATTCAGAGGTCTATGTTAATCTTTGATTGATTCTAAATATGTGATTTCCCGTCCCTCTTCTACTTTTTACAAATGGTAAGGACTCTTCAGTGCTTGCTGTTTTTCAGAGGCAATGAGTATCCTGTAATTTTGACCATCAGAACTGTCATTATTGCATCGACAGGAGAAAGTATGCTGAAGCACTTTAGGATTTATAACAAATCCTGTTCATCTCAGATATGCCCTTTCCATATCTCTCTATGGCACTGCAATGATGTTTAGTAGGATTACCACTAATGAAGTTTTTAGATTATTTCAAGGCTAGATTTTTGAAGATCACTCTTTCTTCTTCAAGATTATTCATGGTGCGTTCGGTTAAAAAATCAGAATTTTTTTCTTGTTATGTTTTTGAAGAAACATTTCAGAAATCTGGTTTCCATTCTGGTTACCTTCATCCCTTATTTGCAGTTTACTGTTCATAAGTTCAATTTATGTGAGAATCTGTCTATAGTAAAATATATTAATGGGCATAGGGTATCTGAAATTATTTACCAAATATTTAACCAAATTGGACCAAATATATATAGTAGGATTTAAAAATCAAAAAGAAGAAAACTCCAGCAAACTGTGTCACAAAAATAACGAGGCTATTCCTAAAAGGATTAAATATCTTGCCTCTCTACTGAAGAACTATTCCTGGTGTGGTTTGACATATTTGAAGAGAAGATGTAGAGAAGTGTAGGAGGATATTCCTTGAAACATCTATACTCTTCTTTCCATGTCATTCTCCGAAGACTTGACCGTGAGATCTCTTTGGAGGCATCTCTTAGCAGTTGCTCCTTCAGAGCTGCATTTTTAAGAACTGTTATCTTTTCTAGAATTACTGCATTTTAACTACTGTACCTGGAGATATATTTTGTAAAAGCATTTGCCTATATTAACTTAATTCTCCTATCCTGCAGTTTTATCCAGCTAAACAGCTTGACTCTCATTTGACACATCTGTTAAGTGCCACTGAAAGCAGTGAAAATTGAGCCCTATTAAAACATATACTTTCTGTCATCAAGAATTGATGAGCCACATTTTTATTTTCCTGTCATTGCGAAACCTTTAATATGGCGTCTCTTTAGCACCTTAGTT